CCATCCATACCTTCTTCTCTTTCTCTCTGCACCTTGCAGTCTTTGTTCCCTCTCTTTCCTCCCTCTCTACACCCTCAGCTTTCTTGTTCTCCCTTGTCTCCACTATTCCCACTCACACTTTCTCCTCTACCCACCCATGTTTTATTACCAGGCCCCTGTAATATCACTGGATATTAAAAAATATACATCAACCGAGCAATTATGGGCTATCAAAAAGAATAGGTTTAGCCTGGGGCCCTGCAAGTGCTGCACGGTAGATGCATAGAGATGAGATGAGGAGGAAGCGAATGAGTAGCCTCACCTCAGCTCGGGCCACTGAAGCACAGCCGAGATTGGTGTAGATTGTAGAACATTTTAGATACTGCAGTCTACCACACATGCTTCATTCACACAAATAGGTGCAAACGCACACACACATACAAGGTCACAGAAAGATTGAAATCTCTCCAAATGCCTAGAGATGTTTTCATATATGTGTATTCATATATAGGAACATACAGTGCACACACCTACACAGACAAGCATGTGCGTATACATACAAACACGCACAAACAAACACAGCCTTATGTGCTGTCATTGTGCGCCCTTTCTTGACGTCTTTCAATGAGCAAACACAAGCTTCATCGATGTTAACTTGCACTGCCAAGGCCTCAGATTTAGATGGAGAAAATAGCCCCTGTTAAGGAGCAATAACATTTAGAGAAGGGGCTGAGGAGACTCTTTTAATAGGACTCACTTAAAATTCATAGTTGCTATGCAAAATAAATCAGCGATTTCCTGCGCGGGGGCAGTGGGAAAGGGGATGATGGTGTGGGGAGCGAGGGAGAGGGACGGGCTGCGAGTGAATAAGAAATGAGGTTTAAACGTTGGCAGTCCCAAGTCTGACACATTCCATCATGTCGGGGGTGGGTGGGGGTTGCGAGTGCGTGCACACACACACTCGCACACACACACACACACACACACACACAGGCCTACACACACATCCATACATGCACACAAACACATGCAAGTAGCTCCCCCTTTTGATTTTTGTTGGCTGCTTCAAAGAAGGAAATATACTGTGAGAAAAAAGACAGAGAGACATGATGAAGAGTTCTGTGTGTATGTGTGTATTTATTTTTGTGGGGGGCTAGAGGGATTTGTGTGTGCGTGATTGTTAACTTTCTTGATTTTAATTTACAGTGTACAAATTAGAGCCCAACTGATACAACAACATGGCCGAAATTATTGGCAAATATCATCTTATCGCAGATACAGTGTACTGGTAACAGCACAAAGAAATTTGTAAGACATGTTTGAGATAAAACAGTGTTATATCAACAAATGTTGGATGGACTGGCATGAAATTTTGTACAGACATTTATGGTGCCCAGATGATGAATCCCTCTGACTTTGCTGTTCCCCTGACTTTTCATCTAGCACAGCCATGAGGTTCATGTTTGTGGATTAAAGTGAAATGTCTCAACAACTATTGAATGGATTGAGATGAAATTTGGTCCACATGTGCATGTTCCCGTCAGGATCAGTTATGATAATCTTGGTGGTCCCTTAAATTTTTGTCTATCACCATCATTGGGTCAGAAATTTTAAATGCGCAAATGGTTAATGACCACATACCTGCAGGTTTGCTGTATGTTGTGTTTCGGACTAATTAGCTAATGTAAGCATGCTAACAAACACTAAACTGAGATGGTGAACAAGGTAAACTTTATACTTGCTCAACATCAGTCTTTTAATATTGTTCTTGTTAGCATGCTGATGTTACCATTAAAGTCAAGCACAGCCTCACAGAGCTGCTTGCATTCCTGTAGTCTTGTTAAAACTCTCAAATATGGATCAGTCAGAATCAGCCAGTCGGGTCCTAATACAAATCTGTACGCATGCAATCTAACTGCAACTATATAATGTATTTACCAGTGAAATAATTAATTAAAAAAAAAGAGCAAAATCTGAAGCATTTTTCAGCCTGAGGTTTAACACATCAGGGCAATTCAAGCACTGTCAGGCAAAATTGCCATTCATACAAGTACAGTATAATAAATGATTCATTATGATTTCAAGTGTTTTAATTGACTTGTGATGATCTAACCTTCCTGGCACTCTTAGTATGAACCCTACCTGTCAGGTGCCTGTCTGAAGCCAAAACAAATGATTACAAAGTTACCTACAAATACTGTTTGACCCAGGGGAATACTGTATGTGTGTGGAAACGTGTTTTTCTAAACCTTGTTTGTGTGTCATTGCTTCAGTTTTTGTTGGCATTTGTTTATGCATGTGCGTCCCTATGATTTTTATATCTTGTCAGTGTGTCTACACTTGCATACAGTACATGTGTGCAAGGCCAGTATCTCTATATTTGTCTTTATTTGTGTATTTCTGAATGTGCAAAGGGTGTGTGTGTTTCGTTGTTCGTGGATGTCTGTATATGTTCGAATGCAAGTGTGTCTGTGTGAGACAGCAGCACGGCCAGCGGACTTGTCTGCTGTGTATGAATAATCAAAGTGGTCTCTCTCATCATTAAATCATCACTGTCCTGGTGGGAGCCTGAGGAGGGAGATGGAGTGAGAGAGCGAGGGAGAGAGAGAGGGATCATAGCTAGCGCTGCAGGGGTACATGCTCTCTCTCTCTCCTCCATCGTGTAGTGTGGCTGAGATGTGTCATGAGCACAAGTCTTCTCTGCTCTCTGTGCTCGCCCACTTAGCTCCCCCAGACACAGCCGCTCTCATACACACACTTTCATACATATGCACTCACAGTAAAACACTCATACACATGCACGCAGACACATTATTCAGGAGTGGGCAGACATTCACAGTGTCTCAAGCACACATATTGCATCTTTTCTTGGAAGAGAAGGCCTCCAACCACTGCTGCACCGGTATCTGCCACATGTAGCTGCCATTACTGTCCTTTTCATTGACACAATATTCACTACACCTACACCATGTTTACTATACAGAAAACCTCCTAATAAATATCTGGTCCTAAAAACTGGTCCATCTAATGTAAATGAATAATAATCAAATACTCCCTTAACAGAAAATGTAAACACTTTAAATCTGCTCTAATCAATATTTTTATATAAATAATGCAACTAATTACTATGTGTATATGAAACAGTCACAGAGAATCACCTGACTCTGCAGTTCCTTTCAGCTCTGCAGAGTTTTAGCATCTTTCAGCTGATTGTTTTGGTTTTCTTTACTGTTGTTATTACTTGTTATTTCCAGCTGCAGGCAGCTGTTTTTGATGCAAAAAGTCACTGTACACTACCTGCCCAACATTAATCATCAGACAGACAGAGTGAGCGACAAGCTGGTGAACATAGTGGTGCATTTAGCAGCTGATGAGCTAAATATTTCCCTGAGGAGTTGGGGGAAATCAAATTAGAGTGAATATTAGACTCATATTCATCAGGTGGACATAAATATGACTTCAAATTAATGCTAATGTTGCTCTGTAAATAAGCAACTGTTTGCTAACATGTTCGCCATATCAATTTATAGAAAGAGAATACGTCAGTGTTGTGACTATAGCTTCATTCCACTGCCCCCAAACGGCCAAAACAACAATTAATGTGGGTTTAAGTGATTAATTGTAAAAGAGAAAAAATGGCAAGATCATTGTAAATTGAAAATCTTTAGGTGTTGGACTGTTGGTTTCTCTCTGCTCTGGGAAATTGTGATGGATGTTTTTAATCGTATAATCACATTTTTTGGATAAAATAACAAATAGTGATAGATAAAATTATGAAATTCATCAAAAACCAGTCAACAATAAATGATAGTAAAAAGCAAATGCAGCTGCTCTAAATAAAATAACAGAGCTGGGCTTTTGTTTGCGACACATCAAACTGAATTTGTATTTCTAGCATGAAACTTTTAATGGATACCCATGATCATTTGCTTCTACAAATTTCATTATACTTTGACTCTCTCAGATTGGCTTAGTTGTGGCTTTTTAAGCCAGCACACAGCTGGGAGCAAGCAGATAATTTGAATTGTTTTACCTGCATTATAACAGTCTGTAATAATCATTAAGATGATGTCCATAATGTCTATACTGATAAAGATTAGCATATTCATTCATTCTGCTCAGAACCGCAGAAGTTAATATGATGTAATCCAATTCGGGAGCTTCACACTTTAGAGATCATTATACTGTGAATAGCACCTGAAAGTCTCTCTGAGTGTTATAATCAGGAAACAGATTCATGCGAGTCGAGAGAAAAGGACAGAATGAAAGAAAGTGTTAGTATGAGAATAGTGCAAGTGTGAGTACAGACTTTGGTTGAGAGACATTCACAACAGATACTCATTCTGCTGAATGACATACGCACACACACACACAAACACACACACATGCACACACAGGCTAAATGTGTTGCTAATGAGCCTGGTGTGCGGTTACGGCATAGAGCCAGACCGGCTCCTCGCTCAGACCGAAGGGAGTTCAGTCAGGAGTCACTGCTTTCTTCTTCCGTTCCTCCACCTCATCCTCAGAAAGCAGCATGTTACTGTTCGCTGTCGTTATCAAAGCAGGTACAGAGTTACCTGAAGGGCTCTGTTTCAATCTCAAAGTATTGCAGGAGACAAATAGACTCAAACATGACTTCATGATGGTCCCTGGAGTGTTTAAATAGTTGTCATAATTGTTAGAGAAAAGGAGTCTTACTCAGTATAGGGCAAGAAGTACAGCCTGAGAATGCATAAATGCTGTATTTTTCAAAATATAACTTAATTTCTTCTATTTTGGAATAAAAAGATTAACACACTGTAAAAGCAATTATTTTTTAAGTGGTCCTTGGTGGAAGGGGGGGAAGCTACACTGTTAATTATGTTTAATATTACTGTACCGACACCATCAACAGCATATGTGCATAAAATGGATAAAATATCTAAATGTTTTGTTTGTTTCCTTGATTTCTTGATTTTCCCCTGTTTTCTCCATTCTTACTCTTCCTACTCTCTTCCCCTGCCCTTTCTGTCTCCATCCAGTCCCAGCCATGATCACCTCCTACCCCAACACCACTCTGGCCACGCAGGGCGAAGAGAAGAGGATGAGCTGCATAGCTCACGGAGAGAAGCCCATCATGGTGCGATGGGAGAAAGAAGAACGCATCATCAACCCTGAGACCAGCCGATATGTGGTCACCGTCAAAGAAGTGGCAGACGAAGTAATCTCTACGCTGGTGGTGGGTGCTCAGTTTCACTGTAAATCAAATGCCCTTTGAATCTAATTTTCAGGGCGAGCACCAGCCCTCAGTCATTTTTATCTATTGAGACAGATGGAAAGCAGAGAGAAGAGGAAGATGGGAGGAAGGGCAGAGAAAATTCTTGTTGAAAATACATTACAAAATATTAAAGTAGAGCATGAAATATTAAAGAGCTACCTTCTGGTTAAATTTAATGGTGATTAAAACACACTATGAATGAGTACATGTGTAGTGCAGTATTGTAAGATTGCAAGGAATATGTGCCTTGAGATAATTGAGTGGTTGAGTGTCTCACAGGGTTTAGGATGGAAGTTCGTCTCTTTCTCTCTCTCTACTTTATCTCTAAGTAAAGGATGAAAACACTGAAGTTGAGTACACTGCCCATCCTCCCTTTTGAAAAATGACTTGGGCTGACACGTAATTTGAGATTTCTAACTGACAGTCTGACTCTCTGACCATCTGAAAGATTTGCATGTGGTGTGCGTCTGTGTAGATTATGCCTACAGTTCGTGAGGACTCAGGGTTCTTCTCCTGTCATGCCATCAACTCCTTCGGAGAGGACCGAGGCATCATACAGCTGACAGTGCAAGGTAAGCTCCCCCTCACCTCACGCTCTGTTCAGCTCATTGCAGGAACTTCTTTTCCAGTGGATATGTTTGGAAGAAGACAAAGCTCACTCAGGGAGCAGTAAAGCTTCTCGTCATTTATTATTTAATTCATTCATTTATTAATTTAATTGCTACACAGTGTTACTTCTGCTCTTTGCAGACTTATCCATAATATCTCACTGGGGAAATCACAGACAGAATAAAACCGATACATCTGTCTGGTCTGCCTGACACCCAGTTCTATTTCAGGACTAGCACACCAGAGTCCCTCTCTCTCACTGTCTCTGTCTGTTTCTCACACATTCTGCTGTGTTCACATGTTGCCTCAGAACCACCTGACCCTCCGGAGGTGGAGATCCGGGAGGTTAAAGATCGTACAATTGCTCTCCGCTGGACCATGGGTTTCGATGGCAACAGCCCCATCACCGGATATGATATTGAATGCAAGAACAAATCAGGTAGACACAAATTCAAGAAGCACAATACTGAAATGTGGCGACAGAGTGATCAATAGAGCCAGGAATAAGAAAGGAGAAATGTAGTTATCCATTGCTGACAGTCTATCCACCCTCTGTTTCTTCTAGCTTCTTGGCTGTCAGCCCAGGTAACCAAAGATGTGTCGCCACAGCTCAACCAGGCCACTATTATTGACCTTCATCCTTCCTCCACTTACAACATCCGCATGGTCGCCAAGAACATCATCGGCAACAGCAATCCTAGCAACGAGCTCACCATCACCACTGACGAAGCAGGTTGGTGACATTGATGCTAAGATCTGTGGAAACCCTTCCACCACGGTATTTTAAATACATATAATCAGTTCTACTGTTACTATTTGATCAGGAGGAGTTACGAAGTCAAACTATGCAGCTGAAATAAATTTTCCCAAAATGAAACTCCACTTTCTCCAAATCACACCCATTAAAAGTTTTTATTTGGCTATTACAGTATATAACATTGCCTTTACAATTAATTTTAATGCTTTAACTCTGCTCCAAAGATAATTGATACTTTGACCAAATGCAGTTTTGTGATGAAACTCCTCAGATAAAGTGTCCATTTCCTCCTGGCCCTCAAACCTGTTGAGTCATCTTTCACAAAATTATTTTATGGTTGTCTTAAATGGAGGCCATCATCGTTTATATCTGGGGAAACAGATCAGTTCACTCTTGCTATTAGTCAGCTCTATCAGTCTTCACTTATCTTCTGTTGCTCATAATGATCCCCCCACAGGCATGCCAGCACAGTAAAATTGTCCATTTTACAGAGTCATTGCTAAAATAAAGTCATAAACTTCAAATTAAATAAAACATTTATCATTTATCATGTTATTTTAAAGGTTAAAGTTGAATTTTCTTTCCAGAAATGATCATTAAATTGAGGGAGAAACTGCACAAAGTGCATACATGAGCAAGAGCATAAAGCAAAATGCATTCTTAACTCAACAGCTCCATCTAGTGAAATCGAATGAGATAAAACACGACTTGCTCTCCGTGGTAGATCATCTCTCTAATTTAAACACAGGCATGCGATAATAGTGAATAATGTGTTTCATTTACAGCTCCTGACGGCCCGCCACAAGATGTCACTCTGGAGCCCACCTCCCCGCAGAGCATCAAAGTTTCCTGGAAGGTGCAGTCCGTGTGTCGTATTATGAGATGAGGCACTGAAACAGATAGACTACCAGATATTGCTGGGGTTTTTTTGTTTTTCTGTTTGTTTTTTTTTAATTCATTATTATTTTATGTGTACCATAGGAAGAGTAGCAACCACATATGTGTAAGCCAATGGGCTAATGAATAAAGAATAAATAAATAATTAAAAGATATTAAATCAGCCAAATGAACATGGTTAAGATAATGTGTAGTCTGTCAGAAAGGGCAACCTTAGGTGTATGAGTCATGGTCTTCTAACCACTTTCTCTTTTTGCAGCCTCCCCAGAAGCACCTGCAGAACGGTGTGATCCGTGGCTACCAGGTGGGCTACAGGGAGTACAGCCCAGGCGGAAGCCACCAGTTCACCATCATCAGCGTAGACACGACTGGAGACACCACAGAGAGTATTGTGCTGGACAACCTGAAGAAGTTCACTCAGTACAGTGTGGTGGTGCAAGCTGCAAACAGGGCAGGCACCGGGCCATCCTCACAGCAAGTGGTCACCAAAACTCTTGAGGATGGTAAGTAGAGTTATGTGGGTTGATTGATGTGTTATATACTGTATGTGTTATATATCCATGGGTCTAAGTCAGTGTCTTCAAGCTGGAGTAGCCTTATATTATTATTGTGAATTAGTTTAGCTTTTATTATGAACTGGATCTCTGCATTATTGACCCCACACCCATCCTGCCCTGTCCTGGTAGATGTGATGAGCTCAAAAATGCTGACATATTTTTGTGAAAAGGCTACCACCTACTGGATACTTTTTGAACTACATCATATAAGTTAATGCTCCAGCACTATCATGCCTAATCAGTAGTTGTGTGTCTCTAAAAAACACTATCGTTTAGTCATAACAAAATAATAAATGTAATTGTTTTTTTGTTGTTTTGTTTTTTATAATTTCTTCAATTAAATTCAACTGCTTTGTGAAAATGCTGGATTTTTTCAAACAAACTCATTCAATACTGTTAGTATGTGGTGTAGTAACTGTAATGATCTTTTACATTTGATAACATGAATATATCTAGTTTGTAGAATGTTTTCACTTACAGTAATCATTATGGAGTTTAAGAATGCAGTTGTCATCACTTATAAAGTATTACGCAACTAATACATTCAAATCAGTGTAACTGATATTTTATTGTTCACATACTGTATCTAAACTAAGGTTCCTGGGTACTCAGAAAATTGTCTACATGAAGGTACTTGGCCTGTTCGTTGCTTGTACTGTCCCTCAAAAAGCCTCCATTAAGCCTCCATGTGTCCCTGCTAGTGCCATCTCGGCCTCCTGAAAATGTCCTGGCTGTGGCCAAGTCTCCAGAGGTCATCTCACTGTCCTGGATGCCGCTTCCCAGAGAGGCTCTCAATGGAAACCTGCAGGGCTACAGAGTCATCTACTGGGCCAACCTGCCCGATGGAGGTATTAACATCCACACATCCAAACGCTGATGTGATTTATCAATCGGTGCAGTTTATTTGCCAATTAAGCCAATACATAAAGTCACCTGATTTGCCTTTCATCCTGTCTTTGTTTTTCATTGCTATTGCTTGTTCTTATGGTTCATCCACTAGGGGAGGCTGTGGTATTGTCATACTGTAATTTGCTGTTGTATGTTGCAGAGGTGGAATTTGAGTAATTCATGTGTTGTGGGTGTGTGTGTTTTTTTGTTTTTATTTTTACTTTATGTAATGTTTTTCAGAATTTTTAGATGTAAGCAGTTATTTCTTAATAAATCACCAACAGCAGCTGACCTTAGTAAGGCACGGTTGTTGTTCAGTCACTACTCAGTACTGTATATTTCACCCATCCTATCTGACAGTGTGATTTTCAAATGCAAATTATGTACTGATTAACATACTTTGATAATAATCTTATGATTTATATACACCATTTGTGCCAAATTACGGTATGAGATGATTCTTTTTCTAATGCTGACCAACAATAGGTATACAAAGTCTGCATTGCACAGAGGGAGTATTTGTGGTTGTTGTGTTTTTCCCTTGAATGTATACCATGCTTTATAGCAGCGATCTAGCCTGCAGTCTGGCTGGTCTCCATCAATAATTCACAATGCAATAACTCCAGCCAGGCCCACTGCCTCAGCTCTGAGTGACAGGACATAAGAAGGATGGAGGATGGAGGCGAGGAGAACAAAAATTCGAGCAAAAATGAAAAGTAGAACCCTGTAATACCCGTCTTATTGCAGTGAAACACAATATTAAGTAGACGAGTGCTCGGCATACATTATCTATTCTGTACAATCAGGAGATTTTGGCTGAATTTCTCAGAAAACCAGAGTAAAACTTTAGCTTTCATCACAGGGGAACTAGTGTTTTCATAACTTTGCGATGCTGCATGAACTGTTGTTGGTATTAGTGTTCATAATCATCACCATAGGCTGCACTGTTACAATGTGTATCATTTTTGCATTTTATGTCTCTCCTCTTGTGTCAGAACTGGGAGAGATCAGAAATGTGACCACTAATCAGCCGTCTCTGGAGCTGGACGGGTTGGAGAAGTACACCAACTACAGCATCCAGGTCTTAGCCTTCACCAACGCTGGAGATGGTGTCCGCAGCGAACAGATCTACGTGCGCACAAAAGAGGATGGTAAGAGAAACTTCACCAGATATAAGAAATCATTGCAATTTAGTTGCCACTGAAAGATACTGAATTAAAACTGTACACTAAAGTCAAGGGTGCATGGTGCTGCTGCATTTTTTAATTGACGTTTTTCTTCCCATACATACAACATACTGCATACTCTATAGTATGTTTATCTGGCCCCCTCCTGAACCCTGGTGTGTTTTCTTGTTCCTTAGTTCCTGGTCCTCCAGCAGGGGTGAAGGCTGCAGCCTCCAGCAGCTCAGTGGTGTTTGTCTCCTGGCTGCCTCCGCTCAAACTCAACGGCATCATCAGGAAATACATCGTCTTCTGCTCTAACCTGCATCCGATGGTAATAGCATTTGTATACCACAAGATCGTCAGCGTTTTATTTTTTCTAATCTCCTACTCAGTTTCTCAGAGCCGGTCCAGGGATTGTGATGCTTAATAACATTAATATTAAAACATGGTAAACTCGCACTATTTAAGGTTAATATCTATAATGGTGCATTTATGCACTCTGGACAAAGTTACTTCCCAATGATACATTAATCTCTCCCCTCTCTCCACTTTACAGGTGATGAGCGAGTTTGAGGCCTCTCCAGATGCATATTTCTACAGGATCCCAAACTTGGCTCGGAACAGACAGTACAGTATCTGGGTGGTGGCTGTGACTGCTGCTGGTCATGGCAACAACAGTGAGAAAATTACAGTGGAGCCTTTGGCCAAAGGTATATCATCATGAATAAGCTTGGTTAACAATGTCCTTTCGTACTTATTTATATTCACATTGTTTTCCTGCAGTTCAGCATTAAAAGCATAATTAATAAGACAGAAGCATTGGATATTGTATTTGATTTGAGATAAATAAACCCGCAAAATTGCGGACACAATATGGAGGACACCTTTTTAGGCAACTAAAAAATGTCAAGGATATATCTGATACACTGATGCATGAGGCATATTTTTCCAAGGAGACGTTTAAATGGATTTGTAATCATGTGTCTTATTTTGACAACAAAAGTATCATCATCTATGCAGACCACGTAATAAGTCACGTGCTTGTGGGGTTTTGTGTGTCTGTGTTGTCTTTAGCTCCAGCAAGGATTCTGACCTTCAATGGGACAGTCACCACTCCCTGGATGAAAGATATTGTTTTACCATGCAAGGCTGTCGGAGACCCTCCCCCTACCATCAAGTGGCTCAAGGGAAAGTAAGTTACACACAAAGACACAAGCATTACTGGTCAGCGCAGATAGGATATCACACTTCCAGGGATACTGTGAAAACTCATTTTGTTTTTTTACCTGCAGAAATGTCTCAACTTCTTTTCTCTTTTTCTCCAGCACTAATGGGACTCCTACCCCTGTCCTGGTGGATGGTCGTCGGAGTGTCCATGGCAACGGCAGCTTCATCATCCGCACAGTGAAAGCAGAGGATTCTGGCAACTACAGCTGTGTGGCCAGCAACAACTGGGGGTCTGATGAGATCACACTTAACCTGCAGGTCCAAGGCAAGTCGTCAGAGTAGTAAAGATACTACACTGTGATGCAGAACACAAAACAAGACTCAAATATCTCATATTGCTCCCATAGCTTTTAACCTACAGTATATAATGATCAAATAATAAAACTCAATTTAGGAAAAACTGCTAAAGAGTAATGATGTTGTGGAGAGTTAAAGGATAAGTCTGATATAGTTTTTTGTTTCTTATTTAGCATAACTCCCTGAAGAGACCAAACCAACAACTGACCTTACCTTACACATTCTGTTTATGCTGCTGAGGCCTGATACATTTTCTGCCTCCATGGAAGAAAACTTCATTGTGGTCCAAAAACTATTTAAAAACACTTGAAAAGCTGCAATGGTTCACTGGGCGATGTATTACTTCATCACAATGCGCACAGTCAGGTTAACACAAATTATTCAGTATTTGTGCTTTGTAGCTGAACAGCTCCTAGGTTATATAATGCACGGCCCTGATGTGTTTCATCAGCAGATGCTGTATAGGTTTTTTGATATCTTTCTTGGCTACCAGACCTCTTAAGCACAACAGAACATGCACCATTCTTTTCCTGTAGCTGCCAAAAGTTTGTGTAAAAAGAAAAGCTCAGCCAAGAATGTGGTCTGAGTGTCCCAAAAGTTGTGCTATATTGCTCTTACAGATTGAAGTTTGATTCTTGACTCGGAGACCGAGGCAATTTAACACAAATATTAACCGTGCAATGAAATTTTTGTTTGACCTCATATCCACAGTTCCTCCTGACCAGCCACGCCTCACAGTTACCAAGACTACCACCACATCAATCACTTTGTCATGGATACCTGGAGACAACGGTGGGAGCTCCATCAGAGGTGAGTGTGACAGAAACACACACACACACACACACATACACACATACACACACACACACACACACACACACATGCACATACAACAAATACATTTGAGACAGCACAGTGGACAGTTTCATCCCAGCTGCTGGTACACATGTACAAATATGCTTCAACTACACACATTATAGAAACAATCACCTCCCCTCAGCTACCTGTGATAACCAATGTCACACCCTCCTTCACTCTGGTCTAACATCCCTGTTCTTGTTCCTGTTTCTCATTATCTGCTGGTAAGGCTGAATACCCGAGTCCTGAAGGGTAGATTAAAAAGCAGCAGGGAAGATTAGGTCTGTTTAAGTGGAAGATTAAAGCGCTCCATCTTAAAGAAAGCACAATCACAGTGAGACTATTTGTGGTGATTTATCATTGCTTCTAATCATGGAGCTCCTGTCTTCAGAGTTGTAGTCACTATAAAAGCTGTCCATGATAGCTTCTCTGTGATATTTGTTTTGCTCTCCTGCTCACAGAGTCATCCATCACCAAAATGCACAGACACCTCAGCTCACAGTTGTATATTTTTAGCCAGGCTTGCGGCGTGTTTTGGGAATGGCAATGTTGGTCGGTCTGTGTGTCCGTCCTCAGACTGTCACCCCAACACTTTTGTCCGGATAACTATCGGATTAACTGCCATGAAATTCAGCACAAACACTCATGGTGCCCAGAGGATGAACCTTAATGATGTTAATGATGTTAATCATCTCTGGCTTTTCATTTAGTACCACCAACTTTCAAAGTGTTGCTTACTTACTAACTAAAACTAAAGACTGTAATCCTGTTAGCAGCTGTAAAAGATTATGAAAGATTTCCATGAGATAGATATCTACTGTTCAGCTAAAGTTTTATGAAAGGCTTGTGCAAGCATTTACCAAATTGTTCAGTAAACATTTAGGCATCATTACCTTGATTAATGGAGTTAAGGTGATGTGAGAAGTCTATGTTGTGCTTTCCTATTATTTAGCTCCAAGTCAGATTAAATAAATTCCCCTCATAATTACCACTAAACTGCTTTATTTAGACATCAGAATCAATTCTTCTCTCCTTCCTCACTCTTCTCCTCCCAGGTTACATCCTGCAGTACTCAGAAGACAACAGTGAGCAGTGGGGCAGTTTCCCTATCAGCCCTAGTGAGCGTTCATACCGTCTGGAGAACCTCAAGTGCGGTACCTGGTACAAATTCACTCTGACGGCCCAGAATGCAGTGGGGCCAGGGCGCATCAGTGAGATAATTGAAGCTAAGACCCATGGGAAAGGTAAGGAGTGTCACATTAAAGAACTACATTGTGAGTTCTGAGTCTTACAGTAAAGTCATGTTCCCATACCTATATCACAGTTTTTTTTTTACACAATTTCATTTCCATTGATCCAAAAAACTCATACCCCCGAAACTCTAAAACACTCAAAATATAGAAAAAATTTGGGTAAAATTTCAATTCACAGTCATTTTACTTGTGTTGAACTGTAAAGATGATCATGTTGGTTGACTTTGAAAGTTTGTGCCAAACTTGTGACATTTTGCTGAGTTTCTAGCTTTATTCCTCTGTCTACCTTCTCCTCAGAACCCCAGTTTGCCAAAGAACATGAACTCTTCACCAGCATCAACTCCACAAGAGCCAGACTCAACCTGGTTGGCTGGAACAACGGCGGCTGTCCAATCACCTCCTTCATACTGGAGTACAGAGCAGTAGACTCGGCCACCTGGACCACAGCCCAGCGCACATCGCTGACCAAGAGCTACATCCTGTACGACTTGCAGGAGGCGACCTGGTACGAACTGCAGATGAAGGTCACCAACAGCGCTGGCTCAGCAGAAAAGAGGATCACCTTTGCTACTCTCAATGCTGACGGAAGTGAGTTTGGATTAAACAGTTTGCCTGATATCGAGGATCAAGGGATCAGGATAGAATAGTAAAATCAGTAGTGAGTCATACTGACATTGATTATGTAATAAGACATACCTCCAAACTGAAAATGTAGCCAAACATGTCAGTGTATTTAGTTTACAGATAACATAAGATGGAATAGGACATAAGTGTAAAGACCAGTGACAAGGGTTTGGAGGCCAGCCTTGTTTCTAATTCTTTTTATGTTCTTTGATATCAGATCTTAGTAAAAGAAAGTTTTCCCGTTGCTATTAACAATAGCATCATTACATCAAAAGTTTAATAATTTTGCACCCTCTACTGCAACTGTTTGGTACTACAGTGTTTCAGCATCAAACACCATTCCACAGTTCTGCCTACAGTACAGTATGTGCTTTAAGATAATTTGTGAATCATACTGTTTTGTCAGCCTTTTTGTCAGCCTTTGAACAAACTGACAGGTATCCTGAGTTGAGTATGAAAACTGGGACGGTCTTCAGATTCTCCACAGGCCGTGGTGTAGCTTTATCTGCCACAGGCTACAGCTCGTGTCAGTCATACACAAAGGAAATGTATAAGCTCTAAAGAAGGATAGGACGTGGTGAGAGCTCTGTGGTGCACTCCAGACTATTCATTAATTTTCTTTGAAGGGGTTTTGCTGAGACGTGTAAGCTGCCTGTCAGGGTGTTATGTGAGTGGATGTGCTTTTGCATGTGCGTGTGCGTGTGCGTGTGTGTGTGCGTGTGTGTGTGTGTGTGTGTGTGTGCGCTATGCTATTGTCAGTTTGACAGTGGTTCTATAGCTCAGCTCAGCTGCAGAGCGGTAGCCCAGGAGACTAACAGCACATATTCAGTCTCCAACAAACCTGGTGCCCCAACCTCGATCATCTACAGGCTTTTCTAATCTGACCAAGGAGAAAAACATATTTAACGGTGAATTTAAGGAAAGGGCAGGCATCAGGGAACTTCCCCAAATTTCAAAGCAGTTACAGAATCTATTCCTCTTGACAACATTATAATCAACAAAGCAGAGTTGGGTTTGTTTGTTTATCTGTCTATGTGGCATGTGTTGGCCCCCTCTGCGATGCACCCAGTGTGTATTCAGGACTGCTGTGACCCTGTTCACACACACACAAACACACACACACACACACACACACACACACACACACACGCACGCACGCACGCACGCACGCACACACACACACACACACACACACACACACACATAAACTGTATATATGTAATGAAGGACCTAAACCTCCTGCCTGCTCTCTCTAATGTGTTCTCAACAGTCAGAATTGCTCTTTAAATAGTAAGAATCAATTGGAAATGTTTTCAGTTTACAAAAATTGCAGAGAAGTCTGCACATAAAAAGCATGCATGCAGAAAATATATACATTCAAAGTTTAACTGCTAAACATTTTCCATCCCCATAATCCTTGACTGTGTTGCATAAAAAATATTTTTCTTCCACCCTTTACTTGAAGAAAACATTGTTTTTCAACATGGTGTTGCACAGTATTATTTGAAAATGAGCAGAGTAGTGTGGCTCTGAACAAATGTTTATGTGAAACATTACAAAGAAAAGAGGATGTCATACCTCATCTAGCAATTAGACTAAGACTAAAGGGTGAGTCAAGTAGCAACACTTCAGATGAATATTCAGATGAGGCTCCTTGGTGTCTGATCATTCATTCCTCATACCGCAAATGTCTGAATGTGTTTATTCCCTTCAAGGTACCATCCCTCCTCTGCTGAAAACAGGAGACCCCATTTCAGACAACATGTCAGGCAGTGGAGGTCTGAAGATGGTGGTGACCATCACCTCTATTCTCGTGGTAGCCGTATTGGTCTTTATTATGCTTATGGTGCTAAAGAGGAGACGGAGGGAGCAGAGGCTCAAGAGACTCAGAGGTGAGTTTTATTTTGTACATACTGGGTCTATTGAAGACCAAACTAACTTCATCTGATTAAAAAAATGCTCCAGAGGTTCAGCCATATCTGGTTTTCATGTATTTTGTACATATCATTAAAGATGAATACATACTGTATGCACACATTGTAACACACCTACACACATTCAGTCTATAAGCCTAATGTGCAAACATGCCCGCTAACACACCCACAAGCACACATGCAAAAGAAAAGCAATACAGTGAGTGTGTCATGTAATTTAAATCTTTTGATGTTCGTGTTTAACCATGTTTAACCAAATCTGAGGTTAAACGTTGCTTTTGAATTTAAGAAACTTCAGTTTGTGTCCTTTGGTCAAACACCTCCAAGTTCACATTTCTAACACTCAACATGCTTTCACTGCCTTTTTCTAAGCAGAGTTGTCAGTGATTGTACTGTAGTTCCACTGCTGCAACTTATGAACCAGGACAGTACTATTATGGTATTAACTACCTCTTTGCTGACTTCACAGATGCCAAAAGCCTGGCAGAAATGCTGATGAGGTATGTATGCTTAATTTTAATTTATGCTTGCTGCTTTCCTTTAAGCAGCGGACATAAATCACAAAGTAGCCCAGAGTTACAGCACCTATCAGTAAAAATCAAATATATTGCACACAGGATATGCTGTCCCTCTTGCCTACTTACAGCTCCTTATCAACTTAAATGGAATTGAATTAGCATTTCTGCGACACAATGCAAAATCACGAAGCTGAAAAGTAATGAATTTTTCTCATTAATCCCCTCAGTAAGAACACACGAACGCCAGACACAGTGAACAAGCAGCAGCAGACGTTAAGAATGCACATCGACATCCCCAGAGCCCAGCTACTCATCGAGGAGAGGGACACCATGGAGACAATCGGTGAGATACTCAAAATGAGATCTTGTGCTTATTGTTCACCATATGCATTAGTGCTTACGGCTGAAATAATTGTTTTCTTCAATCTAGTTTCTTTTGTTGTTTCTTCCCTTCCATCTTTTCCTGACTTACGTCATTCTGCTTCTTTCTGCTTTCCTACTTTTCTGTCTCACAGATGACAGGTCCACCGTGCTGTTGACAGACAATGACTTTGGGGAGACAAATAAGCAAAAATCCTCCACAGTGACCCACACAGTCCACTACCAGTCTCTGTCCCAGGCCACTGGGCCACTGGTGGACGTGTCCGATGCCAGGCCTGGAACCAGTGAGTCCCACCACCGTCAGTGCTCAACATTTATTTCCTTCACTACTAATATTGCTAACATACTGCTAGTTCGATGTTACTAATAATAACATCCTGTTGAAACCGTGTTTTGTTTTTGTTCAGTTACTCTGCAGTCATGAATCTTGCATTGTTAATTTTCCTCTTGAGTCGGTGTAGTTATATTCTCATGGATGACATAAAAATGACATAAAATAGTATAGTAATAGCATTCCATTGGACATTTATCTGAATTACATGCAAGGCAAATGGCCTTTCCACCTTGTCTTAGCTTAACCATAGACTGCCATCACGCAGTATGTGAGCCGCCTTCCAGAAGTGAGATTACAAAGACCCAGCAGCTGCACTGCAGAGCAACCTCTGGGCTTCTGGCTCCACTGAAGCAGAACTGATGAAGAGTAGTGATCTCCCTGCCTCTTCTTGACATGTCCTCACCTGATTGCCCTGCTCCAACTGGCCAGTTGGGCCTTAGTGCACACATGCCGACTTGGACACGTACTGTACACTCAGATTTGTGAAATCACTGAAATCATTTTTGTGCAGGCTGATTTTTGTGCAAATATTGGATAACAGGTCAGGGTATATGTGCCACAGACACACAGCACAGTCTAATATAATATAATATATACAGGATCATGAAATGCACAGAACAATCACACACCTTGCATACACAAACACAGACACACGCCTTACCACACATCACAATCACACACACACACACACACACACACACACACACACAGAGGCATGCATTCACACACAAGAAGGCAGTCATGTGATTGGTTCATTTAACCTGGCCAGTGGGGCATGGACTCAATTTGCTGACTCAGCCCTTTTTTTTCTCCCTGCTGTTGGCCAAACACCTCCATCATTTCATCCCTCCATCCCTGCTGATGGAATTACTGTCTGACCTACTACAATTACCAGCACTATTCTTCTCTGTACAGATCTAATCCAGGCTGTTTCTAAAGGGTCTCGTTCTGATTTGGCCCAGCGGTGCATACAGCAGCAGCCTGTCTGGGTCAGGCTGAATATGATACCATTTATATGTCTGTGTAGAGACAGTTGGAGTTTGAGATTGATGATAATGTTACTGCATAGAGCGGCGAGATGATAATGTGCAGCGTTCACAGAGAGGGTAAAAGTAGGAGAGTTGTACCACAACACAGCTGGAATCACAGACTTTGTCCCCTTCTTCTCCTACAGATCATGTAGTTTTGGGTCATTGATGAGCCAAATCAACAGCTGTTAGCAGTGTCATCTTTTTCTCACTGTATGGATGATCCAAAATAAAGTCAATAGTTAACTTAAAGCAGAGAATGAGGAAGTTCCTAAATTGGTCTGTGTCTATCAAAAAATTAGATCACAGCTGCTGGAGGCAAATTTGTCCCTGTGGGTTTGAATTTGTTTGTTTGTTTGATGCCATCACTAAAGACTTCATTTTCTATTCTGTACAATGTTGACATTGAATTATGACAAAGTAATTTGGAAGTGATATATTCTCGAGAGAGACTTACACAGTTCTCATAACAGACAAATTTGAAAGAATGCAATTTATATTATAATATCCAATTCCATATACACATTGACGCCTTCATTAAACACTGATGTATGCTTGTGAATGATATACAGATTTACTGTTTTATTCAAACTAATAATGTTTATTTATTCACAGAATAGAAGCTCTCTGACTTGAATGAGTTCAGATCTAAATATTTAGATCTATCTGAATTTTACAAATGTAAAAATTTCTCAAGTGCTTTTTAATGTTGTGTCGCATGGTTTTGACTCAAACTTATGAAGCAAAAATAGATGTTCTGTTTATTTCCTCTCTTCACAAACAACTTACCCCCTCTCTCCTCACTAGATCCCACTGCCAGACGCACTGCCAAAGCTGGTCCTGCCGCAGCACGGAGCCGCTACGCCAGCCAGTGGACCCTGAACCGGCCACACCCCACCAGCTCGTCACACACCCTGACCACTGACTGGAGACTCCCCACACCACGCGCCACTGGATCTGTGGACAAGGAGAGCGACAGCTACAGCGTCAGCCCCTCACAGGATACAGGTAGAGTAGAGCGGGGAGGAGGGTGAGCATCACACCTAACCAGCAACAACATGGACTCACAGCCTCTTTTTAAATTAGGTTAGAAAGTTGTTGGGGAGGAATGTGACAGAAATCATGTCGCCTTTGTGAGATTGTCAAGTGTGAAGGCTACATGACTTGCGAATTGGATTTTATACAGTCCAACACATTTTTGGCTGAAGTTTTTTAATTTGAAAGTGCAACTTTGGGGCGTAACCTTGGCTGAAGTTTCCAGGATGTGAATCCAACTTAAACCTGCACCATATCGATCATTGTACTGTATTAAATAAAATGAAAACACCCCAAAAACCACTGAACAACACTACATAGTAAATAAAACCGAATTTTTCCGGCACTTTAAAACATCTAGTGCTGCACTTTATGCAGTATTTCTACAACAACAATAAAACCTATTTCTCACACTGTGTAACTTGTCATCAGATCGGGCACGGAGCAGCATGGTATCAACAGAGAGTGCGTCCTCCACCTACGAGGAGCTGGCCAGAGCCTATGAGCACGCAAAGATGGAAGAGCAGCTCCGCCACGCCAAGTTCACCATCACTGAGTGCTTCATCTCTGACACCTCATCCGAGCAGATGACAGCAGGGACCAACGACTACACCGACAGCCTGACTTCCAGCACGCCATCTGAGTCGGGCATCTGCCGCTTTACCGCTTCACCGCCCAAACCTCAGGATGTCAGCCGGGTCATGAACATGGCCGTGCCCAAGGCACACAGACCTGGTGAGAAAGTGCAGTTTACTACACAAATTATATGCACAACCCATTCAATCTTGTGTTTTACCTGCAAACGTTCAAGACCTCATCCCTAACTTCCCATCACAAAACGAAATCTTCTGTAGCTTCTAGTTTAGGGTCAACATCATTTCATCATTTGTTTTCTTTTTTTCAACATGTCACTCAGTTTGTAAGAAACTAGATGGTGTCACTTTTTATCAGTTTGTTGTCTGTAAAAGCCCCTCAATTAACTCCCAAAAATGACATTGTTGATGGTTGGTCAAGTTCAACTTTGATCATCTTTCAGTCCTGGGGTCCTGTATCCTGATAACCTTCAGACTGCTGCTACACGCATTATAGTCTCATTAGATCATTGTATAGTACATTAGACTCTGTAGAAGTGTTTACAGCTTTTTTTTATCGGTCTTCAGTGGGACTTGCTCCAAGTTTTTCTCCAACCTTTAGAGCCTTAACACACTAAACAAGCCCCTCACACATCAGGAACAAGGATTAAGAGATGCAGTTTCTCTAATAGGACCACAGGGACGCCTTTTATTGTAAGAATACAGAAAACTTTTTCGCTGGTAAGTTATGTCATTTTTTACACACTACATGGAGGCTCATAGATTACATCTGCAGTTTGAGGAAACTTGCTGTGCTGTGCTCTCTCCTCTCAGGTTGTAGTCTTACCTTACCTGACCCTTTGCTCCGCCGAGTAGCCCCGCAGATCAATTACGAGGCCTGACAGAGCAAGCCGACTTTCTGCTGACCACACACAGAAGCACACTCATTTAAAAAGACACCCTTCTCCCTGACACATGTACACACCACACCCATCACTCCATCTCCTGCCATGTAATACTGTGTCTGGGGCCACTGATAATGAGCGTTGTTGGAGGTGTCCTGTCCTAGCACCAGAAATGTAGGTGTGTGTGTGTGTGTGTGTGTGTGTGTGTGCGCGCGCGCACGTATGCTGTCTCAGGATCCTCCATTTGACCAGACAGGAGTTGAGGAAATCAGATCGGCTTCTTAAGTTTCGGGCCTCATTACGTTTTGAACGTTTGTGCACAGGACAGCAGACTCATATCACCAGTTCACCAAGGAGAGAGGGCAACTAAAGGCTATCTGTAAACCCAACCTGAAGCTATTGTCACTCAGTACAAAACAACACTTTACTGCCACAGTGGAGACGGTTCAGTGTAATACCAGCCTCTTAGCCTTTCAGGCATTACTGAGTGTGAGACTGGTGTGGTGTCTGTTACAGTTGCATTGCCTCTACAGTTCCCTGGTAGGTTGTTGACTATTTGTAAAGAGTTGTGTTTTGACATTGTGCAAAACAAATATTACGCGCTCACATAAAAAGTGTGGTTTAAGCAAGAAAATTGGAAGTACATTTCTTATATCATCAGTGACTGAGACCAAGTCAAGTGTATGATATATTTTCATTAGAGTATTAGCGTTTTCAGCTTTTTTTTGTGTCAAACATTGTATATTTCAGCTGACTCTACAGTCAATGGACTGTGAAATGATAAGCACAAGGCTTTCTGAGAGGCATACAGTTACACAAACCTGCAGCAAGTCTTGCAATTAGTAAGTATTCAGACACAACGAGGAACAGTTGGATTTACACATATTATTTAAATCACAGGATCTTAAGGGCTTAAAGGATAATAAGCTGTTATAAATTGCTGCTCTAGCCAGTCTTCATCCTTATTATCAGAGTTTGTTTCCACATATGAAAAGGTCGTCTGTTACACTCTATACACTACAGACTAGATGGCCAAAAGTATGAGGAAACACAAATATTACACCCTTATGTGATGGTTGAACAACTCATTTCAAAACCATGAACATTGGTGTGCCACATAGGAAAGCTTCCCAAAGGCATTGGAAGCAAGCTGCAGGGATTCACCTCCATTCACAAGAGCATCAGTGAGGTGGACCACTGACGTTGGGTGATAGTTGCAGCTTATCCCAAAGACGTCAGATGAGGTTGAGGTCAGGGCACTGTCACAGTATGTAGCATTAAAGCAGCATTAACTGCACTGTTAACACAACACTGACATATCACCAAGTTTTTATGTGTCATCAAACAGCTGCCTGTTTACAACATTAGCATGAATTTGGAGTTCAACCAAGTCCTGAAGAAAATATCTGGCAGCATTCCCAGACCAAAAGTAAAAAAAAATATGTGGACAATGGGAGTACCCTCTGTGTTTTCCGTACAGTGTCACAACAGAGTTACGACTATCAATCAATAAATCGCTTTTCACCTTCGTAATATTTAGTAAAAAACTTCTCTCCAAACTTGTAAATTCTAAGTAGAGCGTATTACAGTATCAGTCTGTTGAAACTCAGACCCAGTGCAGAGGCCACTTTGACTGACAGCTGGTGAATGACCCAGCTTCAACCCCATCTCTGTCTCTATTACATCTGACTGACCTGAGCTGACCTCACCGGTCCATCGCAAAGATTGAAGGCGGACGGACAGCTTCTCACTCATCTCTCTCTCTCTCCTTTCACCCTCTCATATCATTTCATGTGACCTGCCTCACCTAACAGAGCTGTTTAGAGAGTAACACTTTATTTATTTGGGCTTTTCTTCTTAGGTGCCCTATAAAAGCAAATCTATTGGGCCCCATCTCCCATTACAGTGTGTTCCTCAGCACATATTAACACATAAACCTTTACATCGGTGCTGGTAATTACAGAGCTACAGGCAGCAGTTGGCTTATAAAAGGCCTGTAAATAAATAGGGTGTGTGTGTGTGTGTGTGTGTGTGTGTGTGTGTGTGTGTGTGTGTGTGTGTGTGTGTGTGTGTGTGTGTGTGTCGTGTGGTGCTGTGTGTGTGTGTATGTGTCCCTGAGTGACATACACAATATACATCCGAAAATATTAAAACATCACTGTTCACAACAGTGTGGACTGTGTTGAAGATGCAACAGACAGTTACACAGATTAATGGCTTGGCAGAGTTGCTGTTGTATTCTGGTCCCATTACTGTACGATCTGCAATTTACAGGCTAATGAATTTTCAAACTACATTTCTAATGAGCTCCCACAGAACCACTTAAATCTATATTTAATTCAATTAACACTCCTAGCCATTCATCATCTTTGCTGGCACTAATAGGGCTTATTATAAAACACAGTAAATTATTCATTCTCCCCATGAACCCAGAAATCCATTCTCTAAGGTCACACGGTGGACAGAATCTGCAGAAACAGCCTTGTCTTTACTGACATTAACTCTGAGTGGCTGGTTGTGAAAGTAAGCGTGTGTGTGTGTCTACATACAGTATATACTTGTGCACGTGTTGGCTGTGTACATGTGAGTGTGTTGGCACGTGGGGGAGAGAACATGTGTTGAAAGGTGATTTCAGCAATGAATCGTACACCTGTAAACGACTGTTGATCTCTGGTCCTCTGAGAGATGAATGTGAGGATGAATGTTCAGCATTCGCTAAACAATACAGACTCCAGTGCAGCCTACTGGATCTGGCAACCAGAGTCCCTCCCTCTTATCTAACACCTCAGACAATTACTAAAAGATTGAAGAGGCAGCTTTTAATCCTGGTTTATCACTCAGTTAAAGTATTAACCGCTGTGCTGTTTTCACCTCTTCTTCACAGAGTTTAGAGAGAGGGTTTAAGAATTGCCAAATGCAGGAACTAATTTATGTAGTATATTCAGAATGGGCTGGTGTAGTGGAGACATTGTCCATCATTCAGCTTCATCCCAGTAAGAAAAAATAAATCAAATCATTGCATCAGGCCCTGACAATGATAGCAAAGATAACATTGTAATATTCAGCTTCCTATTACATTATGTTCTGCACATTTTTTCCCAGCAGCAGCTATTAATTCAAATAGATTCACACTTGGAGAAGATTGGTATTACATAAAATAATAGTTATGTTAGTCATAATCCCAGAAGGGCCTGAGGTGAGCAAATACAGCAATGCAAATGTGAGTTAAATATGGATTTTTAGCTCTCTATGCAGTTAATTTAAACAGAGGAGGAGGAATGATGGATTCTGTGGAGACAAGTCAAAACTTTGACCTCTTGAGAGCATGTACGGTGGCGATCCCAGGGAACTGCTACACTGTCCCTGGGGACAGGCTGGAGACTATAAAGTGAATATCATCATCATTTGAACCAATTTGCATTATTTTCAAGGTCTTGTCATGCAAAATACGTTTTACAGTCAAAGTATATGTTGTTTGTGTGTTATTTATTGTGAAGGTTATTATTTTACAGGATTTCAGATAATATATATCTTCAGATAATTCTTCAAATGTCACTGTGAACTACAAATTTTCATTCAGACAGGAAAGCCACAACATTATTCCTTGTTTTTAAGAAATAATGCACTCTTAAAATGCAGCTGACCATAAATTAAAGCTGCACTAATCAATGTTCTTTATATCAACAATGGATCAAATGACTATGTGTAATGTTAACGGAGACACGTATAGTGATGAACCCAAAGAAAATTATGACCTGACTCTATTCATCTCAGCTTCACAGGACATTTGAGTGTCTTTCCAACAACATGTATGGAGATACAATGTAATTTAACCAAACCTTAATTGTCACCTGCTTCTCTCCTGTGTCTTCCCTCCCAGGGGGAGAGCTGGTCCACTTGCCGCCTTACCTCCGTATGGACTTCCTGTTGAACCGTGGTGTGCCACTTGCAGCCCGAGGTGGAGGAGTCAGCAGCAGCAGTGGCAGCAGCAGCAGTGGAGGGGGAGGAGGTGGTGGAGGAGGAGGAGGAGGAGGAGGAGGAGCAGGAGCAAGCGGAGTTGGTGCTGGTGCTGGTGCTACAGGGGAAACAAGGGGAGCAGGAGGAGGAGGAGGAGGAGCCATGGGCCAGACCTGCCTGGAACCCCAGAGAAGCCGTACCCTGAAGAGGCCACCTCCCATGGAGCCCACCCCCATGGAAGTGCCCTCGCCTAGGGAGGTGCAGCAGTGGCAACCAGGAACTGCCTCCACCCTCCCCCACAGGGATGTCCGGGAGAGGGGAGAGGCCCGGGGTGAGGTCCGGGCAGAGGTCCCCTCCTCAGGAGACCTTGCCCAAGCACAGGCTGCCAAGCTCAGCACCTCTCAGGAGTCACTGCTGGACTCCAGAGGACACCTGAAACAGAGCAACAACCCCTATGCCAAGTCTTACACTCTTGTATAACACTGGGACACACAACAGGACTACTGCAGACACACTGGAGGAAGAAGGACAAGAGACAGACGACAGGCACAGGATGGACAGTTTTCCACAACAGAAATTGTTGTATATAGAGCCGTTTCTGACATGCGTCTGAAGTGGATGCTTTTCTTTGAGTCTGTCTTTCTTTCTTTCACTCTTTTCTTTCTTTCCTCTGTCGCTCTTCTCTGTTGCTTTCACACTTTTCATTCTCTCACACCTCGCTCCTCTTCTGATGAATTTTCTCTCACAGTTTTTATTTTCTACTTGAGTATTCTTTTATTCTGAAGTGACAACATATGAGGATTGCCAAAATGATTTATTTAAAATTTGAGAAAGAGAAAAAATACTATTGAATTTATATCAAGGACAATTATAGTCATTATTATTATTACTATTATTATTATATAAAAACAGAAAATATCTAAAAAAAAAAACAAGAAGGGAAAGGGAGGAGGACTCTGGAGCACTCTGCAGAAAAACATTGCTTTCTTAATTTATTTTTATTTTATTGTCGCAGTGTGATGAAATCTGTGATTGGGTAACCAAGGGGGTTTTTAGCACTATGAAGAGCCAATAGAGGAGAAGAAGAGTGATGCCAGACACGGCCGCCAATGCTGACCAATCGTAATGTTTTTCAACCTTTCTGATGACTGCATGGCGACTGATCAAATGACAATTAATAGGAATGGCTGGAAATCCAAAAAAAAAGAGAATTTTTTGTCACACTATGAAATTATACAATGTGAATATATATAAAGAGATCACTTTTATTTGTGGATATTACGGGGAAAATGATTTGGTTAATAAAGTCCTTAGTCATGTTTGCACACATCTGACTTTGATTCATATGTGTCAAGATGAACGTCCCTCTTTGTTCTTGTCTGTTTCTCTCTTCCTTCTCCATCCATTCTTTTGTCCTCTACTTTGTCCTGTTTTTTTTAACCTACATCCATCTTATACTTTCTGTTGAGACCAGTCATTTACAGAGAAAGACAGTAGCTGTGGTCGGTAAGATTTGAAATGGACCGTCCTCAAATCTAAAACTGATTATTCACAGTTCTATAGAAGTCGGCCCCAAAGCTCTTGCTAAAAACTGGCTTCTGGTTAGCGTCAAATTATGTTTAAAGTACCTGATTTTAATGTAAGGTCTGTGGTTCCCAACATTTTTGGCTTGTGTCCCCTGAAAACAAAGCTGTGACCCAATATCACTGATTTAATGGGGTGTATGTCAGGTGTGAGAAATAATTTTTAGAGGTCTCACCTCAAATATTTCACAAGGAAACAGCATAGAAAAGGCTAAAAATATAAAGATTTTGTGTTGCAGAATATATTTTTGATTGAATTCCATCTCATTAATCATCAATTGAGGATTAGACCTTTTTATTTTTGCAGTACTTTGGGTCAAAGTACATCGATTTTCTTTTACATTTTCATTAAACTCACTGTTTCCCCTTCACTTCACTTTTTGTATCACACAATCTTCACTACACTGATTGACCTGAGGAACAACTACACTAAAGTCGTGAATCAATTTTCACATATTAACACTGTGCCCAGAAATGCTCCCTACTGTGACCTGTCAGACACTGTTGACCCTCTTACCTGAAGATTGTGTGGTCAAAGGGTCAAACCACTAAAAGGTCAATGGTGGCAATCCATTATATTAATTACCTGAGGTCCCACAACTAAACGTAGCACTTGAAAAAAGTCATTGATTAAGCATCATAAGTGTCATAAAGGGTAATTTATGGCCTTATTCTACTTAGACAAATCTATTGATGGAATATGGAAAGTGTCACCAATGATTTTAAATCATAAATTTACAATTCTTGGGCTTGGACTTATCACTGCAAACTAGGGGCACTGAGTTCAAAAGGCATTTATCAGGCAGGAAAGGTCTAATGAAAGAAGCCATTGAGCTGCATAATGAGAAGTTCAGCGTCCAATGTTTTGGAGATGAGGGACTGAAAGTCACAGTTTCGCTGCCTTTCCCTTCTGTTTAAAGTCTGTCTCTCAGGAGTCTTCTAATTCTGTGGACATACAATTCTAAATTGTAAAGTACTAAAGCTTAATTACTGAGAGAATATATGTAATTTAGGGATAAAATAAATCTACTTCTGTTTACATATATTTTTTAGATATACATTTTCAACCCAAAGATTTTGCTTGTAATGCTACAATTTTAACAATAGTGTTTTATTTACAGAAAACAGACTTGGCTTTAAAGCCTGTTTAAAAATAACAAATAAACAAAACTGGATTTGGGAATAAGCTTTAAAGATGACTTGTTTGAAGGGATCATTTTGAAGATTTTTATTCCTTTCACTTTAAAGTGACTGACAGTAAGTAGAGGAAATATTTTCATATCAGCGTACTACACAAACAAAGCTCAAGCACACAAATACACAAAAAATTGCACAGCAAAAAAACAAACCTGTCATGTTGACTGGGCAGAATTATTCATGTGTATGAGTTAGAAAGAGAAGATTTCTCCAACTCTCCTGGCTGTGTCCACACACCAACAGGAAGCATGTAAAAGTTTAGTAAAACCTTGAAATGGTACAAACAAGGCATTAGAAGAAGTTTGTATTGATGCAGCTGTAGCTGATCAACAGATGGCGCTGTTCAGTCACTGAATTGAGTTCATTTGCTGCTAATGAGGAGTAAGCTTTTGGTCTCTGAGAAGGTGGAAAGGGATGGTTCAGCACCAAAACTATTTGTGACAACCTGGAGAGAGACATCAAGGACAACCCAGCAGTCTGTTCCTGTGTGTGTCTGCCATTTGCAGGAGCACACCACCCTGAACACGTTGAATTATTCATGCCAGCGCTGACACTGGGGCCTAGATCAGGTTTACACTGTCACGCTGATCGCCACAGCCCTGGAGAATGTGGATGAGACAGCAGTGGCAGGGAAAAGATTGCATGCACACAGTTACGTATGTATATAGATACACTCACATACTATAGTAACCTTCAGGGAAATCAATTCCACTGATGCATAATTAAGTATATCTGTTGCTCAGCAGAAAAATGAAAAAAAACATAATCTGTTGTTGTTGTTTTATCCCGTTCTATAGATGGCGTGTCCCAAAATCATCTGCTGAATGATTGAATACATGTCTGATGTCAGCCGGCTGATCCACCGGGAAAACTTCACGCAGGTACTAAAAAGTGATTCCAAGAAAATGGATAAACTTTACTGTCAGTGAACTATAATTGAATGACAATAACTGAAGTTTCTTATTAAATCTGTACACTCCCCTCACTGGTGTGTGTGGTAGCATAATGAAGATGGATGGCCCACCTGCACACTGAGCATACTTTATGACTCTGCAGCTGCCCTCATACATTAGGAAGGAGCAGGACTGGAGTGTTCGTGTGAGACTCGCCTCCTGGCTGCAGGCCATTATCACACCTCCCACAGCGCTCAGCAGCCAGAGAGGGAAACTCTGGTTTAGGGGAAGAGGAGTTTTCAAGTCTAATAAGATTGTAAAGTGGTCCCCAACCTCCTTTGTCTGATGCACCCCCAAAGCCCTGTCAGATGAACTCAAGTACCCCTTCAGCCACACCACCCATCACATTGAAAATGTGTTAATTTGAGTTGATTTTAAGGTAGATGTTCTAATACTATTGATGGATATCATTACGGTAAGTTCTCATACAGCTGAACTGTTATGTTTAGGTTGGCTTGCTAAAATTTGCACAAGTGCTATCTACCACTGAAACAGGATGTTTAACCATTTATATGTTACTTTCCGTCTGTGTCATCCATTTTTCCATAATTGTTACCTAACTATTTCAACCATTTTACTTTCTTCAGCCATGTATCCGCTACTTTCAGCTTTTTAATTTACCCAGTACTTTTAACTACTTAAACTCTTTATCCATTAATTTTAGACAAATAACCTTATTTCAGCTATTAACCAATGGGTTTAGTGTACATGCAGGCAGAATGAACTGCCTGCATGTACACTAAACCTTTTCGCTAATAAATTCTGCTTTCCAGCTGTTTAACGTCTAGCTAGAATAAGATTAACTTTCGGCTATCCAACCTTTTGTCCCACAATTTCATGTTAATATTCAACTGTTAATTCATTCCCTCATTTATCTATTACTTTTAGCTAATTGCTTTCTTGCTTGATAAATGGTTTTTATGCTCTTTTTCCAAAATTCCTAGGTTTTCTGTGCTACAGCGGATTCAATATGTGGATATATTTTTTAAAGAAGATGGTCATTTCTATTTTTTCAAATCAGTCAAGCTCCAGAAGCAGCCCCCTGGGGAACAAGTTCCCCCGGAAGTAGTCCTTGTCTGAGATAGTGAAGATTTTTTATTAGGATTTTAGTTTTAACCATGCACCAAGGACACCATGCCATGACAAGCACTGTCAGTTAGCAAAGGCAGGTTAGGAATAGACCAGTGTCCTCCCAACTGTGTTTCATAATGAGGCGCCTGAAGAGTTGGCAGGAGACAGGGGGGCAATTTAGAGAGCACAAAACGGAAGGACTTTCCCCCTGAGTTCACACTACACTCCCCTAATCAGTCACACCCTGACTTCCCTCTCTGTGGCCTCACAAGTACTGTTCTCCTTCGTTTCCTTGACATTGAGCTTTACCATGTTTATCTCTCTTTTGGACCCATTATTTTTCTCCTCTACCCTGTTTTGACCTCCCTCTCTTCTCTCTCTCTCTCTCTCTGTCTCAGATCACTGTATTGATCCGGCAGCTCGCCCGTCCTTGTCCTCAGTATCGGACTTGAAGAGCACAGGATTATTCTGACTAGAAAATTGTTTCCCTTGGGTTTCTTTTGTCAGCAAGGGCAAACAGACACGTTCACACCACATGGATTTATGCTTGGTTTGGAGTTATGTCTAATGACTATATCATAGTATTTACAAATGTTGATACATGCTGCAGAAGTTTAATTTGAGAGTGATGGTCCAGAAAACAAATTCATAGCTGTAGTGTACTTCTTAAAATGTCTGTTTTTCTCAGAGCTTCCCTTCCAAGTCAGTTAAGATAAAATAATTACTTTTAATTTTTAACTAATGATTTCTCTGGGTTCCCTGTCTGCTACTGCATTTCCTAGTAGGATACATATATCCTGGTGTACAGAAAAACACAGATAACAAACAACAAAATAAGTGGAGATATATTAATTTAAATATTTATCCCACTAAGGCAGGTGCAAGGATAAATGATTAGATTAATTTTAAAGTAATTGAAGAGTCAAATTCATTATGCACAACCAAAGTAATCAAATATAACTTTTCATTATTGACAGAAGTGACTGCAGTGTAAGACATTGCAACTTAAATGTTCAAATGTCTGAAGGACAGATGTGCATTTGCCTGACAGGCGAATCTTCTTCTTCGTGTGTCCCATGTTAATGACCACAATTAAATGATAGAGAGTCTTATTAAGAGAGGCCGATGTCTAAGGGGGCTGTCAATTATACTTGTAATTGGTAATAGATAGTTGGACTCAGACCAGGAGTCTGTTGAATGCATTGTATCACAGAAGAATATTGCAGTGTGCTACATAAAGAGGCGTTAGCTTTTGATCTTTAATAAAGCTGTGTGCGGAGCAGAGCGCTAATACGACCAGTGTCAGGGGTTTGAATCTCACTGGAGCTGCTGTGTTCACTCCCGGTATTGTAATGTTCTCTAGATAAGCTTCCACCAACTGCCTCACTTTATGTTTTGCTCACATAACTGATCGGATTTGGACTCCAGCTGTCAACACAGCGACTTATCAGAGAGCATCCACTGTAGCTGGTAT